CGCGTGTGGTTCGTTCTGTCTGGTCGTTCTCTCTGTCTGTCTGGTCTGGTCTGGTCTGGTTGCCTGCCTGTGTGTGTGTGTGTGTATGTGTGTCTCTCTCTCTCTCTCTCTCTGTGCCTGTGTGTCTCTGTGTCTCTGTGCATCTCTGTGCGTCTCTGTGCGTCTCTGCGTACCTGTGTTTCTGTGTGCCGGTGTTTGTCGGTGTGTGTGCATATGTGTTGTCCGTGTCCAGCACAACTTGGACAATCTCGCCCTGCCGACAGACATCTAGAGCTACAGCTCACCTACAACGTGGAACCTCCAAACGGCTAAAATACAAACAGTTCAGAATGAAAGCGGGTTGCCTCGCTGGTATACTGGTTAGATTAGTTTTGGCCTGTTGTCGAGTTATCTGCGTCTAGCCCTTCTAGCCCCCCCCCCCCCCCCCTCATTTCTTTCATTGCGTGAAGCGTTTAGGCATTAGGGTATCTGTGGCCTTACAGGCAGGAAAGTTCGCCTATAGTTGTAAAGAAGCGTAGGGATTGACAGGGGCATGCTAGGTGTATGTTTTACAGGGATCGATCAGGGAAACTCAACTCAAAGCAGCGCTAGTAGCCAACACCCCAAACACCTCAAAACACATCGAAACAATACCGAAAACACCCCAAAAAGCACCCCAACCCTGGGCCCGTGATCTTGAAAGGCATGGACGACCGACCTCCCTCTCTGCGGGGATGGATGCAGAGCCTCCAAGCCTGGATGTCCAAACACAACTGCCGGCCAAGCTGGAATAGTGTGGACGTGGAGGAGCGAAAGCAAAGTCGAAGGCCGGAGGCATGGGTTGACCCTAGCAGCCTGAGCAGTTAATTGGGGGTTTAGGGTTTAGGGTTTAGGGTTTCGGGTTTAGGGTTTAGGGTTTAGGGCTTAGGGGGTTTTAGTGTCTTAAGGGTTTAGGGTTTATGGCATGGTTTGTTTCCAGGACCTTGCGAAGCATCATCTGTTAGGGGCTAAACGGCTGCCATCCTGGAGATGGGGGGTACCCTTATATCCGCGGAAGACAGTATTTCCTTTTCTTAAGACTCGACATATCCCCAAGGGCTTAGGGTTTAGGGTTTAGGGTTTAGGGTTTAGGGTTTAGGGTTTAGGGTTTAGGGTCGGTGCAGACATGTTCGCTTGTCGCCTTTCGATCCATCAAGATGTACCTGGTTGAACGCCTGCCTTACGCCTCTCCCCAGTTCAGTCATGGGCGCCCTAAACCCTAAACCCGAAACCCTAAACCCTAAACCCTAAACCCTAAACCCTAAATCGCAGGTTGACCCATGGACTTGCACTCTTGCAAGCAGGAAACTCGGCAGCACCTTGGGATGCTAATTTGCTTAAGAACCCCGAAAAATATATAATATTCTTCCTTATTAAGGGTAATCTTGGGGATTATTATGTTTCATTCTTTTGGGGTTCTTAAGCAAATAGTAGTTGAAGAGTGTATTTCAGACATGCATTTGCAGAGGGCTTGGGGGTCTCAACCTAGGAAAGCTCAACGCGGCTGAAGCGGACTGGCTGCGGAGATGTGAGCGTGCGCGAGACTGGCTCACTAGCCTGGGCATGTGGCTGACACTTATCAAGGGATTTGCGACTCGTAATTACCCCCTAAGGTTGTTCCCCTAAAAGGTTTCTCTTAGTATACTCCAACTATAGCCCTCATCTTCCGTGGATAGATCTCAACTGCAGTACTGTCTCCAGTTCCAGGTGCGGAGGCGTCCTTTCCAGTCGGCTACAGTCACCCTATGCTTGTTGTGGGTTTGCCCAAATTGACTATTTTTGGTAACTTGGTAGCCGCTCACATCAGTCGCCCTCCCTCCCGCCCCCACTCCCAGGAGAGACCACCGCCGTTTGCCAAAGAAAAGAGCGGCATGCCAAGAGGAGACTGGCTGCTGTTTGGGAAATATGTCGCCCTAAACCCTAAACCCTAAACCCTAATCCCTAAACCCTAAACCCTAAACCCTAAACCCTAAACCCTAAACCCTAAACCCTAAACCCTAAACCCTAAACCCTAAACCACCATCACACAAATGTACTATGGGATTCTGATAAACCACCTGCCTGAAGCTGCCCGAGACAGATGTACAGAAAATTGCACTCAACTAGTTTGGGTGTGTACATATAAACCCAAAGAATCCTAAGTGCCTATATGGGGGTCACTTGCCCAAACCATAATAGTAATTCCCATTACAGAAACCCTACTTTCTACGATGTAGGTACTTAGGACCCTTGGGGTACTTAAACATGTACAAGTGAAGAGGAGATACTTGGGCCCTAAGCTACTCTATGAAACAGGGTTCATATTACTGTCCTTGGTGAGTGTATATAAGGTTACTTTTATATTGCTGAGTGTATGTCTTGGGTGTCCTTTTGGGGGCACAAGAAATAGAAACCCTACTTCATCTACTTGGGCCCTAAGCTACTATATGGGATGCCATCCGGGTTCAGGGTTTAGTGTTTAGGGTTTAGGGTTTGGGGTTTGGGGTTTAGGGTTTAGGGTTTAGGGTTTGGGGTTTAGACCCTAAACCCTAAACCCTAAACCCTAAACCCTAAACTCAGGAGAAGCTGATGTACAGTCGCTGGACCAAAGCCCAGGCGCATCTACGCAACGACAAGCGGCTAAGCTCATCGAGTCCACGGGAATCTGAAAACCCCTAATACGGCCTCACCCACTATAAGCCTAAAACCTATAAGGGTTAAGGGTTTAGGGTTTAGGGTTTAGGTCTTAAACGCTAAGCCCTGGAACCTTTGATCATCATCCCCAACTCCCGTGTGGAATCCCTGTAATCCGTGACACCCACCCTGGAATCTGGTCTCCCCTGAACTCCTTAAGAACCCCCCAAAAAAAGCGAGGTTCAAGGGATTTACAGGGCCTAGCCCCTCAATCCCAAACCGTCTCAACAAGCACAGGTTGAGTCTCCTAGAAGCCCAGATTCTGAAAGATGCCGCTGCGCGGCTGACGCTTCGGGAAGGCTGGGTTGTATGAATGAAGATGGAGAACGCCCTCCCTACGTTACTCTAAACTATATACCTAGACCTTCTAGAACCTGAAAAATTGTAGGTTCTTTGCGAGAAACCCGGTTTTGGAGGACATAGCTAAGAAAAACCCGGTTTCCTGCCGCAAAACCGGGTTTTGCTCTTGAGCAAGAGCCCGCAACCCGTATTTTACCCGTACAAAACCCGTATTTTACCCGTACAAAACCCGTATTTAAAATATGGGTTCGGGGCTTTCGCCAAGAACCCAGTTTTGAGTTGCAAAACCCGGTTATCTTCAAGAACCTACAATTTTTCAGGTTCTGGAAGGTCTAGGTACCCCCCTGATTTCCCATACTCGAACAGATCCCCGCAATACTACGTTCCGGTGCTCAGGCCCATGAGGAAGCTTCCTGACAGGGCAAACCAAGTCTTGACAAAAAGGGTTTGAGATTTGTTTGCTCGGGTTTAGAGTTTAGGTTTTATAGGGTTTAGGGTTTAGGGTTTAGGGTTTAGGGTTTAGGGATTCTTGACCTCTCCTGCCCCAGTTGGGTTTAATCTGGATTCAGGGCCGGCAAGAGTTTAGGGTTGCGCGCCTCGATGTGTTTTCGGGTTCCGCCCTCGTGCTGGCGCGGTTCATGGTACGAGCTCTAGGGGTTTAGGGTTTAGGTTTTAGGGTTTAGGGCTGTGTCACCCTCCTTCTATGACCAGCTGAGCAACAGAACCTGGAAAAGCCCAGAAACAGGGTCAGGTTTGTGTTGCCGCCGCATAGCTGGACGAACCTTCAGGCCGCGCCGCGCTGTCCCTTTGAAACCTTCCCCTCTCTCTCGAGCATCCGATGTATACCGCTTGCATTAAGAACCCAAATGTTTTGTAGGTCCTTAGGATAAACCCCCGTATAGGATGCTTATAGGAACCCTTCACAAAAGTAGGTGTTGGGTTCTGAGGGTCTGTTTTCGTAGGGTTTCGGACAAGATGTTTCCGTTTGCTTCGGGAGCGTTGTCACCACGGGCCACATCCATACACGCAGAATCAGACACACTCACCCAAGGAACCCTAAGTGCCTATATGGGAGGTCACTTGCCCAAACCTTAATAGTAATTCCTAGTATAGAAACCCTAGTTTCTAACGATGTAGGTACTTAGGACCCTTTGGGTAAGATAGACATGCACGCAGCGGCTCGACAACCCTCCTTTCAAGCCCCCCCTTGGCGGAAATCCGTACTTGTCCGGCCCCTAGAAGCCCCCGTGGCCCCTAAAGGGTACGCGCGGATTCCGCCTGGAAAACCGTGTCGGGTCCTCCTGGCGGAGGGTTTGGGATGTAGCGGGTTTTTTGGGCTTAGGCTTGGTGGGGTTTATAGGGTTTGAGTATAGGGTGAGAGTATCTGAGGTCAATAGCAGGATACCATAATGTGCTATAGTACTGAGAAGCGTAGAGGTTGACAGGGACACGCTAGGTGAAATGTTTACATGGATCGATCAGGCAAAACACCCCTAAAACACCCCACAACACCGCGAAAACACCCCAAGACACCCCAAAAAGCACCCCAAGCCTGACCGTGTGATCTTGAAAGGCATGGACGACCGATCTCCCTCTTTGCGGGGATGGATGCAGAGCCTCCAAGCCTGGATGTCCAAACACAACTGCCGGCCAAGCTGGAATGGTGCGGACGTGGAGGAGCGAAAGCAAAGTCGAAGGCCGGAGGCATGGGTTGACTGTCGCATTTATGGGTTCTGGAAATGGGTTTAGGGTTTTGGGGGTTTGGGGGTTCTTAGGGGTTCAGAGTGAAGAGGACCTTATACAGCAACATTTGTCAGAGGCTAAAAAGCTGCCATCCTGGAGATAGGCAACCCTTATGTATGCGGAAGACAGAATTTCCTTTTGTTGAAACTCACCATATCCCCCGCAGTGCATGGATAATTTGGCTCAGCTCAAAGTGGCGCAGCGTCGCATCCCCAGAACAGAAACTCCGGAGTTCCTCGGTAGGATAAGGGGGATCCTTAAAAGGGAACCCTTCTTGACCCTCTTCTGGCTCTCTTAAACATGGACCTTATTCAGAGGGTCTATATCCCCAAAAGGCCCCCTAATCCTATCCCCTAGGAGCAGAATGCTTGTCGCTTTTCGATCCGTCAAGATTTGCTTTGTGACGGGCGCCAGTTTCGCAGGTTGGCCCATGGACTTGCACTCCTGCAAGCAGGCAACTAGGTAGCATGTTGTGTTTAGGGTTTAGGGTTTATGTGTTCACTGAATGGTTTGAAGAGTCTTTTTAAGGCATGTATTTGCAGATGAGGGGGCTCAACCTAGGAAAGCTCAACGCCGCTGAAGCGAAGTGGCTGCGCAGATGTGATGCTTGGTATGGGCACATGGATGTTTTCTAGGTTGGCTTCTGAGACATTTTACATTTCCTTGTTTGGGATTATAAGGGACCCTATTTAAACATATTTTTCACGGGGTTTAAAAGCCAACCCAGTTTTGCAGCTTCCGTCATGCTAAGGATCGGGACATGATGTGTGTTCGCCAGTGAGTATGAATGCCAAGGTTTAGGGCTGTGGGCTTCCCAGAGACTCCAAAACCCCTTAATTAAGGAATATACCTTAAATTATAATAGGAACCCTAATATGATTTAAGGTATATTCCTTAATTAAGGGGTTTTGGAGTCTCTGGGTTTGGGCTTTCGCCCGGCGTCCTGCTTCCCTGGCTTCTCCTCCGGAAACCCTTACATAGACGTCCGCATACCCCAGATCCTGATGACTCTTTGTGGTTGAGGCGCTTCCGACTCTAGCTGAAGTTCAGGCTCACACAATGCTCCTGCGGGAATGTAGTGGTGCTGCTTCGTCCTTTCATTCCAGAGCCCAAGCATCAGATCCTGGAGCCTTGTGGCAGAAGCCTCATAACCAAATGGGGGTTTCCAAGAATAGGGGACACCCCGAACATAGACCCCCAAATCGTAGGATTCCCTTTTAACAAGGACCCCAAGAAGGTACCCCCTAATAACGTAAACCCCCAAACCCTTATAAACCCTCAACCCTACACCCTAGCCCAGAAGCCGATAAGGACCCCAATTTGGTACCCCCATAACAAATCGTAAACCCCCCAAAATCAAGGAGAAGCCAGCGATCCGCTCTTGGCTGACCTGCCTTGCTGCCTGGGTTCGCTACTTCGAGCGGAGGCCCCGAGCCTCAGCGCAGGCGGAGGACGAGAAGCTGCAGTGGCGCAGCTGGACACTTGGGAGTTTACGAAAATACGGGCCCCCCCCCCTAACACCGACTCCCACAATCCCAATGAGAACCATGGCTGGCTTGGCGTGGTAGAAGTACAGTTCTCAACACACAGGTGATCTAAGAGCTCTGGTTCATCATGCATGGTTGTGGATTGCGGACTGCTGTCTTTTGTTATGTATGAGTGTCTTTTGTTATGTATGAGTGTAATGTGGAAGGCATGGAGTATTGCTGGTCATTTGGGCTGAGGAGGTACAAGTCTGATTGAGATAGGTTGCCCCTGGCACTTTGAAGAAGGGGCGAATGGAGCGTTGATGTTGGGGTCCCTGGCTCTCTCTACTGATAAGGGTCTGTGGATCCATTTCTGGTGCTTCTTGTTGGGTAACTTGCCGAGGGAGGTGGGTCTTTCCAAATTGACACTGCCCAACTGAGCCACCCCAACTCACTTCCCCACGGCCCACCTCCCGCCTTCAAATGCCGCCGAATATCTTCTACTTCAAGCTCTCAGCCCTTCCTGGATGGGCTATTATACCCTATAAAGTTTACTATAAAGGCCCTTTACAGGGTTGATTATTATGGGCATGATGAGGCCTATAGTAGCCCATCGTTCCCGTCAGGAACGAGGCTGCGCGCGCATTTTCGCGTGGGAAGCTGTCGCCTCCCGAGAGGCAGCTGTTCGTCGACAGCCAAGAGTGGCTTGAGGAGGCTGGGGGAGTTTCGCCCTGCTCTTGTCGAAAATATTGGGGGCGGGGGGGGGATTACCACGATGATTGGGGGTACCTTATTGGGGTCCTTATGATAAGGGAATCCTACTATTTGGGGACTACATGGGGCCTCCCTTGTTTTTGTAAACCCCCATATACGTATACAATGAGTTCACCTGCCTAGTGTCATGTCACAACGGCACGGGAGATAGGTGCGCATCAGGGGCGGACCCACGTGCTTGAAGCAGCCGTTACCTCAATCTTCGCACAGAACGCCCGAAAAAGCTTCCCAACCTAGAAGCCAAAAGCGTTCTCTCCTGTCCTGAGTACTTCAGGGTTTCTACGGCAACCAAACCCCCCCAAAAAAAACAAGAATAAGGGCCCACTCAGGTTTTAGGACGGGCCCCCAGCAATGGCAGCTAGCGGTTTAGGGGTCAGGGTTTAAATGCTAGAACCACCAGAATTGCAACCCTACCCATGAACTTCCAAGTACTTAGGGTTTGCCTCAAGAGGCTGGTGCTTTTGGGACTGGGATTGAAGTTTCTGGGGCCCCTAACCCTAGACCCTGCTTCGAGGTTCGTGGGTAGCTGTACGTAACTTTGTACTTCTTAACAATTATCTAACCCCATTTGAGGCACTTCTGACGGTACTTGTAACTACGGCTGAGGCTTCTAATAAGAAATCTGCCTTTTTCAGCCAGGGTTTCGAAATTTCTTAAAACCCCAAATGGAAATAAGAAAGTTAGGTTTGAACCAGACCCTGAAATATATTTCTTATTCGAGGGTTGATTAGAGGTGAGTATAGGGACAGAGTTGGGGAACATGTAACTCACCAGTGTAGAGCCTTTCGGTGTGCTCCAAGCTCTAAACCCTAAACCCTAAGCCCTAAACCCTACACCCTAAACCCTAAACCCTAAACCCTAAACCCTAAACACGGGGAAGAGGCCCGGCACAAAAAGTCACCTTTTTTGGGCCTTTCCGGCCTGAAACACCTCAAACAAGGTGACTTTTTGTGCCGGGCCTCTTCCCCTAAGCCCTAAGCCCTAAGCCCTGAGCCCTGAGCCCTGAGCCCTGAGCCCTTAAAGGCTTCCCCGCAAGAGCCCGGCATCCCCGCAAGAGCCCGGCACAAAAAGTCACCTTTTTTGGGCCTTTCCGGCCTGAAACACCTCAAAAAAGGTGACTTTTTGTGCCGGGCCTCTTCCCCGCAAGAGCCCGGCACAAAAAGTCGCCTTTTTTGGGCCTTTCCGGCCCCAAGCACTTCAAAAAAGGTGACTTTTTGTGCCGGGCCTCTTCCCCGCATGAGCCGGCACAAAAAGTCACCTTCCGGCCTCAAACACCTCAGTTTCTATGGCAATCGCGAAAGAAGAGCAAAACCAGGCCCAGAACAACCCCCACACAAACTGTAACCGGTGGGGTTCGAGCCCAGGCCCGCCCGACACAAAATGAACCCGGCGGGGTTCGAACTCGTGCCCATTGGCATCAAGGACTGTTGCTTTGCCACTGAGCTATTCGGACTCTGAAACCCTCAAGAGAATGATGTGTATTTACTACTTTGCTACAATGGAAAAGGTTTTGCCGTGAAAGGTGACTTTTTGTGCCGGGCCTCTTCCCCGCAAGAGGTCGGCACAAAAAGTCACCTTTTTTGGGCCTTTCCGGCCTGAAACACCTCAAAAAAGGTGACTTTTTGTGCCGGGCCTCTTCCCCGCAAGAGCCCGGCACAAAAAGTCACCTTTTTTGGGCCTTTCCGGCCTGAAACACCTCAAAAAAGGTGACTTTTTGTGCCGGGCCTCTTCCCCACAAGAGCCCGGCACAAAAAGTCACCTTTTTTGGGCCTTTCCGGCCTGAAACACCTCAAAAAAGGTGACTTTTTGTGCCGGGCCTCTTCCCCACAAGAGCCCGGCACAAAAAGTCACCTTTTTTGGGCCTTTCCGGCCTGAAACACCTCAAAAAAGGTGACTTTTTGTGCCGGGCCTCTGCCTTTCCGACCCCAAGCACCTCAAAAAAGGTGACTTTTTGTGCCGGGCCTCTTCCCCACAAGAGCCCGGCACAAAAAGTCACCTTTTTTGTGCCTTTCCGGCCTGAAACACCTCAAAAAAGGTGACTTTTTGTGCCGGGCCTCTTCCGCGCAAGAGCCCGGCACAAAAAGTCACCTTTTTTGGGCCTTTCCGGCCTGAAACACCTCAAAAAAGGTGACTTTTTGTGCCGGGGGTCTTCCCCGCATGAGCCCGGCACAAAAAGTCACCTTTTTTGGGCCTTTCCGGCCTGAAACACCTCAAAAAAGGTGACTTTTTGTGCCGGGCCTCTTCCCCGCAAGACGGCACAAAAAGTCACCTTTTTTGGGCCTTTCCGGCCTGAAAAGGTGACTTTTTGTGCCGGGCCTCTTCCCCGCAAGAGGCCGGCACAAAAAGTCACCTTTTTTGAGGTGTTTCAGGCCCAAAAAAGGTGACTTTTTGTGCCGGCCTCTTCCCCGCAAGAGCCCGGCACAAAAAGTAACCTTTTTTGGGCCTTTCCGGCCCCAAGCACCTCAAAAAAGGTGACTTTTTGTGCCGGGCCTCTTCCCCGCAAGAGCCCGGCACAAAAAGTCACCTTTTTTGGGCCTTTCCGGCCCCAAGCACCTCAAAAAAGGTGACTTTTTGTGCCGGGCCTCTTCCCCGCATGAGCCCGGCACAAAAAGTCACCTTCCGGCCTGAAACACCTCAAAAAAGGTGACTTTTTGTGCCGGGCCTCTTCCCCGCATGAGCCCGGCACAAAAAGTCACCTTCCGGCCTCAAACACCTCAGTTTCTATGGCAATCGCGAAAGAAGAGCAAAACCAGGCCCAGAACAACCCCCACACACAATGTAATCGGTGGGGTTCGAGCCCAGGCCCGCCCGACACAAAATGAACCCGGCGGGGTTCGAACTGGTGCCCATTGGCATCAAGGACTGTTGCTTTGCTACTGAGCTATTCGGACTCTGAAACCCTCAAGGGAATGATGTGTATTTACTACTTTGCTACAATGGAAAAGGTTTTGCCGTGAAAGGTGACTTTTTGTGCCGGGCCTCTTCTCCGCAAGAGCCCGGCACAAAAAGTCACCTTTTTTGGGCCTTTCCGGCCTGAAACACCTCAAAAAAGGTGACTTTTTGTGCCGGGCCTCTTCCCCGCAAGAGCCCGGCACAAAAAGTCACCTTTTTTTGGCCTTTCCGGCCCCAAGCACCTCAAAAAAGGTGACTTTTTGTGCCGGGCCTCTTTTTGCAGAGGCTTTAGGTTGAGACTACGGGGCTTGAGGGATTAGAGGGTTTGAGGCTTGCAGTTTCTTGGGTTCTTGGTAAATATGACAGAGAAACGTTACTTAATACTTCCTCGGCGGAATTTTTTGGGGCGAGCCCGCGAGGCCCTGGATTTTAAAATGTGTGGCCGGTCCAGGTCCAGATTTCTTAATTAATAAAATTTCTTAACACACTCGTACCCATAAACCTCCAAGTAACTCTAAACCCGAAACCCTAAACCCTAAACCCTAAACGTGGGGTTTTGGAGTCCCAGGTGGCGCAGAGGCCGCGTCCCTGGCTGTCTGACCTTTACGCCTGGGCTTGGCGCGAAGGCCAGGGGCGGGGAAATGGTTTTGCTCGAGTCCCTAAGACGCCCTGAAGTCCCAAAGCTCTGAAACCCAAGACCCTACCTGCCCCCAACTTCCCTTTAAAGAAGGGGGCTTATATGCATGTGTATATATATACACATACCCTACTATTATGGTGGAAGGGAGGTTGGGGGTTGCTGGTATACCTCTAAAGCCCAAACACCCCCAACAAGCCCTCAAAGTCATGAACGCTCCAAAGCCCAAAAGCCCCCGATAGACCCGCACGGTCCCCCCGGATCTCCCTAGCCAGAAGCCAAGCTAAAGATCGCTAACCCTAAGCCCTAAACCCTAAACCTGAAACCCTAACAAGGCCGTTCTCCCGACACCTTCAACGGGGCTTTGCCCTGTTGAGCATTTGAGGGAGCCAGGGATAGGCAGTAATCCCTTCCCCCTAATACTAAATCCGTCGCCCCCCCCCCCCCCCCCCCCCCTAATTTTGAAATTTGCCTGGGCCCGAAAAAAAATTAAAATTGGGGGGGGGGGGGGGGGGGGTCTAAATCCTAAAACCTGAATTCCGAAACCTAATAATTAAACCCTCCAAGCCTGAGTCCTGGATCCTAATCCTGTCAGCCTTCAGCGCTAAACCTTGAACCCCTAATGGGCTCAACTCAAGGGCGAGGCCCTGAACCCTTCCCCCCCTAATTCTCAAACAGGTTTAGTATTGGGCTGGGTGCCGGCAGGGTCCGGGAAAAATAATATTTAAAATTAGGGGGGGTTTTAGCATTAGGGGGAAGCGATTAGGATTCCTAAGATGCTTCATCTTTTCCTTGATTCGCCTTCCGAGGGTCTTCTTCGTGTCTTTCCGAAAGCAGGAACCCTAACCCTAAACCCTAACCCCTAAACCCCCTAATCCCCTCAACCCCTATAACTAGACCCCTAATTTCCCAAACCCTAACCCGGGGGAACTCCATTCTCCCAAAACTCCAACAACCCCTAAGCTCTACACCGATGGTACCCTAGTTTTGGGACACCCCCCCCCCCATTTTTCGGTGTGGAGTTCTTTTTTGAAATTTGAGGGGCTTCAGGGTATTCTCGGTTTAGGGTCAATTTTGTTAATTTTAGTTTTTCTAACGGGTGGGGTGTTTCTTGAGGGTTGCAGCATGCCCTTTCCGCAAATGCCATACTAAACCTCAAGTTACCTCTCTGCATAGGCCGAGCGCCACTCCGTGGCGCCAGCGATCCCGCTGAGAAGTTGCAGGTCATCTTCGTGGGCTTAGGGCGTAGGATCTTAGTGAGGGAGGGTTTAGGAATTTTAGGGTTTAGGGCCTTAAACCCTGCCTAAGCCCTGAATCACAGGCGTAAGGTTGCAGGGCTTGGACTTCTGTGGTCCCAGTTTACTCAAAGCTCCACGTCTCTGAACCCAGTTTCAACTGAGGGATCGAAGTGCTTGCGTTTGGGGCTTGGGGGTTAGGGTTAGGGTTCGGGGTTGCAAAGGGTTTAGGGTTCAGGGTGGCCCCATAAACCTTTACAAAACCCGTTAAACATTCTCGCCCTTTAAGGGATTAAATAGGGTACCCTATATGTATATACCCTTTAAGGGATTATGTAGGATCCCCTATATCCCCGCATTCCCTACTAAGAGCCCGGGGGTGGTTCTCGCGCCTTCGCGGACCCAAACCCTAAACCCTAAACCCTGAACCCTGAACCCTAAACCCTAAACCCTAAGTCGTCCTGGATCCTTCCAGGGCGAGCGATGGAGGCATGCCAACAAACTGTCAGAGTTGGATGAGCTGCGGGAATCTGCCATTCGGCTAAGGCTTAAGGGACCAGGGGACTTAGCAAGTATGGCTATTTATTAAGGCAACTATCGTAACATTTACTTGTAACCCCAATCAGGGTACTTGTAACCCTGCTTACTAAGTCCCATGATCCTCCGAGTAGGGCTTGGAGTTTATTGGCTTTGGGGATTGGAGTTTATTGGCTTTGGGGATTGGAGTTTTGGGGGTTTGGGGGTTTGGGGTTTAGGGGTTTG